GAGCCCCGGCAACCCGTAAGGTTCTCCGCGACACGAAGTAATGGCTGCATATAGCTAAATGTATTTGAAGGACATTGAACTCTTGATTACTATTCCCGCAAGCGAAAAGCGCTGCAATCCTTGTTTTCTTTTAAGGCTCTATTCACTTGAGACACCTCGTGGAACTCAACTTATTTCTTTCTGATGCTCCGGGTGTTTATTTTCCTGCTGATCCCTTTTTTTTAAGGGGGTAAAATCATCGAATGACTGCTCCCGCCTGGGTGAGGCGGGAGGGAGTGTCAGACTCTTACTGACTAAAAACCACCCCGTTCCTTCTCTTGCACTTCGAGCCAGAGCCCCGGCAACCCGTAAGGTTCTCCGCGACACGAAGTAATGGCTGCATATAGCTAAATGTATTTGAAGGACATTGAACTCTTGATTACTATTCCCGCAAGCGAAAAGCGCTGCAATCCTTGTTTTCTTTTAAGGCTCTATTCACTTGAGACACCTCGTGGAACTCAACTTATTTCTTTCTGATGCTCCGGGTGTTTATTTTCCTGCTGATCCCTTTTTTTTAAGGGGGTAAAATCATCGAATGACTGCTCCCGCCTGGGTGAGGCGGGAGGGAGTGTCAGACTCTTACTGACTAAAAACCACCCCGTTCCTTCTCCTGCACGTCGAGCCGGAGCCCCGGTTACCCGTTAGGTTCTCCGCGACTCCGAATCGGCCTGCTGATCCCTTACGACTACGTGGTGCGTATACTTGTTTGTCCTCTATCATTTAAAAACATTAACACACAACAACATCATTATCCCCGAAGGGGTAGGCAGAGGTGCACATTATGCCACTGTACAATGTAACACCCACTTTTCACTATTTATGTTATGAGTCCGATGTAAGTACTAGGGAGTGAGCCTCTGCCATATACCGGGCACAATTCCAGACTCCATGCTACTACTGAGAATTTTTTAAAAACCCAGTAATACTTTGCCCGACCCTTGAATCGAACACGAGACCCCTTGCCTGGCAGTCGCCCCTGCGACCATTCGGCCAACGAGGTAGGCATTAAACTGTCAAACACCAAGCGGTCACCGGTGACCGCAACCTATTGTTCTATAATTGTGTCTACAAAACCGGTACTCGACGAGTTAAAACGATTACAAAAACTAATTTTAAACCAAATGCGGTCTGCAGCAAATCTTCTTTTTCCTTGGCAATGATTACGTGACGGGACCTTTCGTTTGCAACCCTGCCGCAGCCGAGGCCGTGAGTAAAAATACAACAGACATTAGTGAATAATGAATTCGAATATCGATTTATGCATTCATATAGTATGAGAAACTCAAGATGCTAGTCTTATTATTATCATTCTGTTCTTGGAATTTCAATTAAACTGTCAAACACCAAGCGGTCACCGGTGACCGCAACCTATTGTTCTATAATTGTGTCTATAATGACGGTACTCGACGAGTTAAATTGGTTTGGTATTGATTTGTTTAATGTCTTCATTAGTTTGTGATATGACTTGCAATACGTGTGTTTCATTATGTCTCTGCTGCTCCTGAGTTCTAAAGTAATTATATTATGAGGTCTAATATTGCATACTAGCTCTTGCCTGCGATTTTGTCCGCGTAGAATATGGGAGTATTTAATCGGGATAAAAACCTCAGTCCTATCACCTAAGTACATACCCTGCCTGTATGCCAAATTTCATCAAAATCCGTTCAGTAGTTTCAGTGTGATTGAAGGACAAATATTCGAACAAAGAAGCTTTCACATTTATAATATTAGTGTGATCATTTCTATATTGGACTTCGTTTCCACTTTTCGCTACATACTTCTATAAGTAATACCTAGGTATGTTTTTGCCGTTACTAATATACATTCGATTAAATAATACATTCGATTGCCGGTTCTATGCCAATTGTGGAATATCTCTAATTCGTCCGTTTCATTTCATTATGCCATTTTTATCTGCTCAAAAATATTTGTTGTGCAACATGTTGTCTTAATGGGGCGTCCTTTTATTTACCAGTTGAGTGATGTAATGGTCCAGGTGATTAAGATGATGAATTTTGAAATCCATCTGATTTTCCAGCTCAGGGATTACGAAAATGAAAACATTTATTGCCCCATTCAAGAAATCAACGAGGCAAACCATATTTATAAATCACTAGCTTTTACCTGCGGCTTCGCTCGCGTACATACACATAGCGCCATCTATACCAATACTTTTGTTTTCCCTCGGGAATATCACATTTTTCTGGGATAAAAAGTACCCTATTATTTTAAATTCAAAGCAATCGGTTTAGTAGTTACGGCGTGAAAGCGGAACAAACAAACAAACAAACAAACAAACTCACTTTCCAATTTATAATATTAATAAGGATATATCTACCTACCTACGAAAATAATAATAATGACCGCATCAATTTGCTACCAATAGAGGGAGCCCCAGTATACTTAAAGTTCTGTGCTTAAAGGACAAAAAATACAAGGAATTACCGTCACGCTCGCATGGTTTGCGAAGGGGTACATATGTACATGCAAAGGTCAATGGACTAAGTTTTCCAACTATCGTATTAAGTTTCATATGAAGGGGCGAGTGTAATAGTACGTTAACCCAATCAATTAACCTGATATGAACAAGGTAGATCAGGATATTTATTGATTTTTAACGTGGATGTACGCAAGACACTTGTTTTCTTTTCTTTTTCTTTTTCTTTTGACGTTCATAAGTGCCTTCCTGGTCTAATTTAAATAAATGATTTTGACTTTGTCTTTGACTTTGTGCCTCGGCTCGGCTGATAAACGGTGAATGTTGAATGTGATTTTTTTTAACGAGATAATATTTTTATCTATACATTGGCTCTCCGCATGTCTGTCGGTCCACCTAGAAGGAGATCTGCCCATACGCCATCCTTGTATTGTAATGTCATAATCATAATAACAAAATTTTTAGTTTTTATACTTAATAACTATCGTGAGACATACTGAATTAACTAAAAATCGCGGGTAGGCTGCGCGACATCGCTGTAACTGCGCACGCTGCTCATGACGAAGAACTCCGTGGCTCGAAACCAGTAGAGGTTCTCTCAGTATTTTCACGTGAGTGACCCCGCAATCAGTGCCGGCGTAAGGGCCACTGACACCCCGAACGAAAATATTGTGACGCCCACTTGCACTGAACTGAACGTGAAGCAATATCAAGTGTCAATTTTTTGCTGATCCCAACTAAAACTATTAACAATTTCATCTTTCCTTTAGCGTTACCCAGAGCTAACGACGCGGACACAAACCCTCAAAAAATCCATCTAAAAAAAATGACAATGAAAAATAAATATGCATGCACAGAGCGTTCACAACAGTTCTGTTGCACCAGGAGAGGCAAGAGACTCCGACTTGGCGTCTTGCACCTTGGCGCCCCCCAGAATTTGTTGCCCTGGGTCATCGCCCCATCCCGCCACTGAAAAATTTTTAGTTAACAAAAATTTTCCTTGTTGTTGTTCGAAGTTGTTATAAAGTGTTTCTCGGTTTTCCATTATATATATTAACTCTCTGTCTTTGTTGGCAGAACTTGAAGCATCCAAACTTGGTGAACCTGATCGAGGTGTTCCGTCGCAAGCGCAAGCTGCACCTCGTGTTCGAGTACTGCGACCACACGGTGCTGCATGAGTTGGAGAAATATCCTGCTGTGAGTAACTGCCTTTATTGTATTATTAGCGGGTTTCATTATTCTGTGACGTACACTCCGTGACATTTTAAAATATTAAGGCTGACTTTTTGGAAAACCTGGAGAAAGATGTCATCATACTCTCAAAGCTTTTAACTACTCTGGTGTTGTGGGTACCTTGGCTGCCTTGAGCGGCATTGACTGCTTACCATGAGGTGATCCATCATCTATGACAATGATGATAAAATATGTGTTTTTATGGAAATAAATTAACATAATATAGCTCGGTATATGGCAATAAGCTCACTCCCTATTACATGGGACTCATAACATAAATAGTGAAAAGTGAGTGTTACATTGTACAGTGGCATTAAGTGCCGTAATATCTGCCTAACCCTTCGGTAATAAAAGGCATGATGTTATGTCGTATATGTATGTAAATTAACATAATATCACGCCTTTTATCCTGAAGAAGTAGGCAGAGGTTCACATTACGGCACTTAATGCCACTGTACAATCAGTACAATGTAACACCCACTTCTCACAATTTAGGTAGGTATATTATGAGTCCCTTGTAATGTTAATTAAATGTCCCAAAAAATAAGTTTGCGACGGTTTAAACATTGTGTATCAACAAGACATAAATGTTATCTTACATATGGAAGAAGATCCTTTCAACTAATATAAAGTAAACAGCTTGTACATGGGTACCTTAGGTAGGTAACTTAGTTCTTACACAAACTTACTAACAGAACTAAAGAAATACAAATCCAAGGTCTTATAAACCTCTGTTCTGTAGGTACTGTCAACAGTGACATTATTAATGTATGTAGTACGCGTCAAACCGAGTCAACTACACGGCAGCACACCAAACTATACATAACCAGTATATCATGATCTCTCTTTCTATGATCTTTCGTACATTCGTCGGTCAGTTTATACTGGTTGACCATAGCTTGATGCATGAAGCTATACAAGACCAGTTCATCATGGTCTCTCTTTCTATGATCTTTAGTACATTCGTCGGTCAGTTCATACTGGTTCTGTTTAGCTCGATGGGTAGCCAGGTACAGAAAAAACAGAACATTTTGTCGTAATAAATGTGTCCTATAGATTTATCGACCCATGTTAATGAATCGTAAACATGTTGGACGACCTTCCAGCAGTTTTTACTCCGCCCTTATTACTTTCCACGGTAAATACTAGGTTTGCGTGTAAAGTTCTTTGTTTCGGCCATAGTTGGGATTCATTTTAGTTACTGACTGCCTCGTTGGCCGAGTGGTCGCAAGTGCGACTGCCGGGCAAGGGGTCTCGGGCGCACGTCGCGTGGGCTTTGGAGACGTGTTGCTAACGCAACACGGGGCGTCAGAGTGGATAATTCTTTCACAGACAATATGTTTGGTTTTTGTCTATCTATCTATACCTACATGCTATTGTCAGAAATCCTATTGAAAAGATTTTAACACATGATACCATGAACTTATTATAACAAACACCATTATTCAAGTTCAAGGGTAAACTAATTTTGTTCATGAAAACGTCAAACTCTTGCTACAATTACGCGCCACAAATGAAAGCCGCCATTTTGATTTTTTAACGTCATTATGTCATTAAGTTGTCTGTGGGTTAAGTTCATGGTCGAAGATAAGCTCGATTTAACAATGGATGTCAGCTCATCAAGCTTTCTGTTATGACGTTCTCCTTTTATGGAATTTCAACTTTACCTTTTTGAAATAAAGTTAAAATTCTATCAAAGAATAAGTTATCGTTTTAGGAATCTTCTCATACCTTTGTGTTTTCGCGGAGAACCTAACGGGTAACCGGGGCTCCGACTTGACGTGCAGGAGAAGGAACGGGGTGGTTTTTAGTCAGTAAGAGTCTGACACTCCCTCTCGCCTCACCCAGGCGGGAGCAGTCATTCTATGATTTTCCCCCCTTAAAAAAAATACCGTCGTGTTTCCGGCAAAATATGGTGAATCAATAATATTTAGTTTTAATTTTATTTAAGTAATAATTGTAATTTAAGTTTTTTATTGAAATAAACGATTTACAGGAAAAAAATCAATAATATAGGATGTATAAATTAAGCACTTTGTAAATCGATAAAATAATGTTTTTTTGTCTAATTTTTATTTGTTCATTATTTGAAACAATAATGAAACCATTTAAAAAGTAGGTGTTAGTACATTATGTAGTAGCATTAAGTGCCGTAATGTGTACCTCTGCCTACTCCTTCAGGATAAAAGGCGTGATGTTATATTATGTTGAAACAATTTTTTTTATGGCATAAGCCGGTAATCGAGCAGACGGATCACCTGATGGTAAGCAATCTGCGTCGCCCATGGACACCTGGAACACCAAAGGCGTTAAAAGTGCATTACCGGCCTTCTGGGGTTAGGAGTTTGAGGATCCTTGGGAATTTAGGGAATGGGGAGATTGGGGAATTGGGCCTCCGGTAACCTCATACACACGACGAAACACAACGTAAGCGTTGATTCACGTCGGTTTTCTGTGAGGCCGTGGTATCACTCCGGTCGAGCCGGCCCATTCGTGCCGAAGCATGGCTCTCCCACACTTAAGAATGACAGAGTTTTATAAATCAGTACCTATATCTAGTTTTCCTGGCTGAAAGATGTTTAAATAAAACATCTTGACTACTTCTAGACTTCTTATGACCTACCATTAGCATCACCGTCAATGGTCATCATACAGATGAGTGTTATCCATAACCCATATCACCGAATTCGTCATAACTTCAAAACACGAAACAAATAAAAAGTCGATTCGTGATTCTATTTTGGCCAAGCGGTTCGCGATCGATTTTATCGCAAGCTTCGGTGTATTTTTATCTTTGTTAAGCGGTTTATGGTTCTATAGATATTACATGTCTAACTGCATTTAAAGTTTTAGGGTGATTTAAAGTTTTAGATCAACAAATAGGCTACATATTATCACGCTATCATCATGTCACCTACGGGGGAGGAGCTGTACTGTAAAGAACTATCCAAAGTCGTCCACGCGAACGAAGTCGCGGGCACAGCCAGTTTAACAATAAAATAGTCTGACTGCCTCGTTGGCCTAGTGGTCGCAAGTACGACTGCCGGGCAAGGGGTCTCGGGTTCGATTCTCGGGTTGGGCAAAATATTACTGGGTTTTTTTTTAAAAAATTCAGCAGTAGCACGGAGTCTGGAGTTGTGCCCGGTATATGGCAATTGGCTCACCCCCTATTACATGGGACTCATTACATAAATAGTGACAAGTGGGTGTTACATTGTACAGTGGCATAATGTGCACCTCTGCCTACCCCTTCGGGGATAAAAGGCGTGATGTTATGTTATGAATAAATGGATGATGAGTGGAGACTGTAAGACTTGTTCGGCTTGATAACTGGAGTCAAAGATTTGTTAAGGCGATTTGTCCTCGATTTGTGCATGTTAAGGTTTTGGCGTAGATTTTTAGAACAATAAACAAATCTAAATTAATCAAAGTCTAAGTCAAAATCCTTATTTCAATTAGACCAAGAAGGCACTCTTTGAACGTCAACAAAAAAAAAAATTAACAGTGAAACTATTTGCCTATTCCAAGGTGTAGATTCTTATGGAGAAGAACGAGCAAACAAACTCCATAGGTTACTATTTTTCAATCAGGTTTAAAGAAGGTTTCAAAGAAGAAGATATAAAGATAACCCTATTTTTTGATCATCCAATGACTTATCCCGCCTTGAGTGAGCTGAGCAGGATTGTCTGACTTTTACTGACTAAAAACCACTCCGTCCTTAAACCCTGCTCTACGAGCGAGTGCCCCGGTAACCCGTTAAGTTTTTTGCGGGGTACCCTATATATATATATATATAGGATCTTCTTTCTCCAAAGCCAAAATCATGTCACTTTTTAATGACTGATAATATGATAGCATACAGCTACATTATAACTTATAAAAATACCCATCCTCAATAACAAGCTCCACAGCGTTTAAACTTGTTTATTTAATATTAACATATAAGTACACGGCATGTCAGGTTGTTTGTACAAGTCTGTCACGTGAGTAGACGGGACAGCGTGACAGTGGCACGCGATTGTGACGTCATAGTACACGTGAAGAAAGTTCTGGAGTTTTATACACGCATATCTAAGGCTGATAATACATTTGTAAATTGTTTCAATTCAACAGACAAATTGTAGATACCAAGCTAAGTTATATTATGAATGCAACTGCCTCGTTGGCCGAGTGGTCGCAAGTGCGACTGCCGGGCAAGGGGTCTCGGGTTTGATTCCCAGGTCGGCCAAAGTATTACTGGGCTTGTCCAAAAAATCTCATTAGTAGCTCGGTATTTAGGGAAGGTTAAGGGAACCCTTTATTATTGGGTGCAGTTGTTGGTTTGGGAAAAATCCAGTAGTCGGTAGTAGCTCGGAGTCTGGAATTGTGCCCGGTATATGGCAATAGGCTCACCACCTATAACATGGGACTCATAACATAAATAGTGAAAAGTGAGTGTTACATTGTACAGTGGCATTAAGTACCGTAATGTTCAAGCTATGTTACTGATATTATAAACGCGAAAGTTTGTGTCTGTGTGTATGTTTGTGTGTTTGTTACTTAATCACGTCAAAACGGCTGGAGGGATTAGGATGATATTTGGAACAGAGATAGATTACGGTCTGCAATAAAACATAGGATACTTCTTATCCTATATCCACATGCAGGAGAAGTAACGGGGTGGTTTTTTGTCAGTAAGGGTCTGACACTCCCTCCCGCCTCACCCAGGCGGGAGCAGTCATTCGATTTTTCCCCCTTAAAAAAAACTATTATCTAGTTAATAATAAGGTCAAGTTTCAGTAAAGTTATTTGTTCCGGAGAACCGGAAACCAATATATACTTATTATTTTATGGTCGCATTTGCACCCCATCGACCAACGAAACAATACTTTCTCATACCTAATCGAAATCAATAAAGAACGCTTTTGTGTAAAAAAATAGGGCATTGCCAAACGATCTGAATACCACCGTTTTTGGGTCAATTTTGCTAACATAACTATGTGCATAATTATATACCTCTACATACATATGTAGGTGTTTTAAACGAAAAATATTCAGTCCATTTCCGGATACATTTGGAAATCTTGAATAGCTAGTTTTTTGCCATTTTTATTGGGAAGGTTGGTAGGTATTATATTTGACCTTTATTGTGCCAAATTAAAGGTTTTTGAAGACATATAAAAGAAAGAGGATATGACAGTCAGAAAAAAGAAAAATAGTGAAAGTCAAAGCATTTATTTCAATTAAACCATAGTTTGGTACTTTTGAAACGTCAACAAATACAAAATAAATAATAGTCTGTCAGTCAGTCCGTCAGTGAAACTAGGTGAAGTTAAGTGCTCATTCCAAAAAGTAGATTCGAATGGAGAAGAACGAGCAAGAAACTCCATTCGTTACTCTTTAGTTAGTCCATTCGTTAGTCTAACAATTCCCTATCGATTCATCTTCAAAAGTCGTATGAAATAGGATATTAAATATTTTAAATATTTCATATAACTAACCTCTCCCTTTTATTTTCAACCGTAAATAACACGAAACCTTCCAATCTATAACTCCAATACCAAGAATTAAAACATTAACCCCTTTATTACTTACAAAACGATACCCACATTAATTTTACAGTAATGACAGCTTCAATAAAACATAAACAGCTGCAGTTCAACGTTGATCGGTAATTTTCTAAGGTTTATTAATGACTAGTAATGGTATGGTTGTTCTATAGTATAATGTTCTAACCGCATAGTTGCCCGCAGTGGCATGGAACGACCGCACTCTTAATGAGCAGTGTGAACGAACCTTTATAGTAAGTTAGTTCTTAATTTTATTCTCTAAACAGAGTTCTCGATTATCTACTAATAGTTAATAAGGATGAAAGCTATTCTATATATGATAATTCTATAAATTATGAATTTAAACTGTCAAACACCGCGAGGACACCGGTGACCGCAACCTATTGTTCTTTAATTTTGTCTATAATGACGGTACTCAACGAGTTAATTATCTTGAATTAAAATAAAAAAAAATTATGATATGTCATCATAACATCACGCATTTTACCCCCGAAGGGGTTGGCATGTACATTATGGTACTAGGTGCCGTAATTTGCACCTCTGCCTCCCCCTCCGCCTGCTCTATGTTATGGTATAAGAATACTTTTAGATACTTATGAGAAAAATCTGTGTAAATATTTTAATTTGTGTTGTCCAAGTGTATTTATGTATATAGTGCTTGTAAATAAATTACTATAATTAAAATAAGTTCCTAATTATTATTAAATATTCATTAGAATATAAAAACAAATGCCACGCTATCACAGAATTTTAAAATAATTTTAAATTATTATTATCTCTGCATTGATCATAATTTGAATCAACATCAGGCTGTTGTGAATAAATGCCCACTGGCGAGCAAAACCTCTTCTCACACGGAGAGGGTTTGAGCATTTATTAGCGGGTTGGCGATTTCGAACTGATAATTAGAAATTATAAGCCTAGGTTTCCTCACAATGTTTTCCTTCACCGTTTGTCAGTGCTGTTCAGATAATTTTAGAAAGTGCATATAACTCGAAAAAAGTCGCATTGGTACTTGCCGTTGGTAGGTTTCGAACCCGCACCCTCATACATGAGAAGCGGGCGTCTTAAACCTCCGGGCCACTACGACAGTTCAATACTTTGAATACTTAATTAAAATTAGAATATAGTACCTATATAGTACAATGAAGTAAATATAAATAATGCGTACCCAATATTCCACCTCAAAAATGTTCGTAGCGCGTAGCTGGCGTAGCGTGCGTCTGAAGCAATCGTGTAGCACTTTCGTAGCGGGCTGCGTAGTCGTGCTACGCGGCTACGATTATGAGATATTGCAATAAAGGTCGAGGTCATATTTATAGTGTAACGTAATATTTGTCCCTCAATGTTAAGTTGGTGTTAGGAAATTTCAAACAATGAATAATACGTGTATCTTTTATTATATTTTTACTTATAATTATCTTTATGTCTTCGGTCAAATAGTTGCAAATGCCTAACACGGGGTCTATTATCAATTATCGGTCACTCTTATCCAATTTTCGGTTCAAATTTCACACTACGACCCTTTGACAAAAATCTTGTATTCGAAGATTGACCTAATTTCAAAATCGCAATGTTTGCAGTAAATCTAATGGTTTTTTTGACCTTGTGTAAGTTTGCATATACCTAAAGTACTTATCAATGGCAGCTGGGCTTGTGAAATTAATGATATTTGTGTACTTTCTCAATTTTTTATGATTTCTATTATGTCATCGTTTAGTTTTAATCGTACTTGGACGAAATTTATGCACGCTACACACCTTATGATTTAACTATGCGCAGTTTAACTGTATAGTCGAACTGTACAGTTAAATCATAGGTCCATACAGCGTACATCATCATCGACAGCCTCTAAGTGGCATCTGCTGGTGTTTTCCTTCACCGTTAGTCAGTGGTGTCTAGATAATTTTAGGAAGAACTCGAAAAAAATCACATTGGTACTTGCCGTTGGTAGGTTCCGAACCAGCACTCTCATGCATGAGAATGCACTCTCATGCATGCACCACCACGATCATACAGCGTATGTACATAACTTCAAGTACAACTGTACAGTTTAACTGTTTGCTCTACACACCCACCTTACGATGTCGCGGAGAACCTAACGGGTTACCGGGGCTCCGGCTCGACGTGCAGGAGAAGGAACGAGGTGGTTTTTAGTCAGTAAGAGTCTGACACTCCCTCCCGCCTCACCCAGGCGGGAGCCGACATTATATGATTTTCCCCCCTTAAGAAATAAACATACCGGTACAATACACTCACTGACAGACCATAATTTATGTTGTATTAAGTTGTTTCAAAAGTACCAATGCTTTGACTTTGACCTTGAATAACGCAGGTCCTTATTCCAGGGCTGTCCAGAGCTCCTATCGAAGCAGATAATCTGGCAGACACTGCAGGGCGTGGCATACTGCCACCGACACAACTGCATCCACAGAGACGTCAAACCGGAGAACATACTGCTCACCAGCGAGGGAGTCGTCAAACTTTGTGACTTCGGCTTCGCAAGGATGATCAGTGCGTATATTTCTTTCACATTGTTTTTTATGTACAGTCAAAGGTCAAAAGTCCACTGCCATCGTGAGTGATGTTCACAGAGCAATGCGTAAGTAATTTCGTATTAATGTGCATAAAAACGCGTGCGTACGCATAAACACACACACGCGTACGCACACGGTTAAAAATATGTGTGTGTGTGTATAAGCGCTGCAGCGCAACCGATAGTAGTCTTATGGCAGTGGACTTTTGACGTTTGACCGTACAATGTTAAACAATAAACCATGTTATTTGGTAAGCAAATTAAGACTATACTGCTATTTATTTAAAATAACTTCTGATGTTTTGAGTCCAATCCCCGCAACCCAAAAGATAGATGCATTTATAATTCCTTTGGGGTTGCGGTTGCCCATGGGGAGCCCTGATTGCTTAACACCAGGTGGTTCATCTGCTCGTTCGTCTTTGCGAGCGACTACACCTCTGATGTTACGCTTTACCGATACATTCAGCTAATAACAATACATATTTAAAATACTTCCCAAAAAGGAAGGGGTTCTCAATTCGTCTGTTTTTTTTTGTTTTTTTTTTTGTATGTTATCCACCTGTAGTCATTATTTAGAAAGACGACGATTTAGAAAGACGAATTAGGTAGGCTAATGCCCGAATACTGAATATCCGCTATACGCTACTCAATTTTAAGTCACACTTAGTATTAATTAATTACTTAGTATTAGTTTTTTATGTATGTTTTTGTCGCTACAAATTCTTTGTAAAATTGGGATGATGACAGGATATGAAAATTAAATATATAGTTAGCCCGTAAGTTAGGTAATGAAAAAATATTAGACACGTATTTTTTATTTTGTCGTATAATAAAACGATACTTAAATATAACGAATCAAAGTTTAAGAGTGGGGGCTAAAACCTCATTTCTACGTATAAAATGAACATAGAAGTGACGTCACGCGACATTTCAAATCAATGTATCGTCGAATGTATTCGTTTCTGTATGAAAATGATTTAAAGAAATCTACCAGACGGATATTAAAATAAAAATTAGGTATCTATCTACCCTATTACAGAGCTGGCAGGATATACAAGTTAAATTGAGTAGCATGTCAGTATTCGAGCGTAAATGTCCCCGTACCCAAAATTCCAGGCCCATTTCTCACCCAATCCTAGTTCTTATCCTACCCGATCCTTAATATCCTCTCCCCTCCAGGTGGAAGCTGTTCATCGGAGTACTCGGTGCATACCATGATCCCATTCGGCGTGGATGTCCGCAGGAGAGCTAGTAACTATTTAATTTTGATACCTTTTGTAAATCATTCTAGTGAAGGTAGTTTGGTTGTTGATTCATAGATAGATTTCTGTGGTTGGCTTCCTCGAGTCGGGAGCGGTTTTGTCAGGTTTATTTTAGAATACAGTTGACGGTTTTAGATTATTTGAGTTTCCTCTTCATAAGAGGGTTTGAAATAATTTACACTGCAGCAGACGGGTTGGAGATTACACTTTAAAAGGTTCTGGTGCATATATCAGACATTGCCGTGAACACCGTTTATATTATTAGACAACAAGTGTGGGAGATCCGTCCTTCGGCACAAATGATACCACGGCCTCACAGAAAACTGACGTGAAAAAACGCTTACGTTGTTTTTCATAATGTGAGTAAGGTTATGAGGCCCAATACTATCCCACCACTATCCTCAATCTCCACAATCCCTGAACCTCAAACAATCCTCATACTCCTATTCCCTAAAAGGCCGGTAACGCACTTGTAACGCCTCTGGTGTTTCAAGTGTCCATGGGCGACCTCGATTGTTTATCAAGGTTTGGTTTCTATTAATAGTGTAGGTCCTTAGTCGACCCTTACGACTTACCCGTCGAAAGAGAGGGGTGTTAACACCTCATTGCATACCAAAGAAAGCCTAGGAAACATCATTATTATCTGTTACTAAAAATAAACAATAGGTACATAAAATTAGTACCGTAACAATTAATGCATGTACTTGTAAAACAACTCACAATTACATAGACAAATGTTCCCATTTTAAGTTCATTAACCTTCATTGCCGTACGATTAAATTTATAAAAAAAAATGTATACCGACACTCTCATTCATTTAATTCATTGTATTACATTTAAATTCAATTGTGTTGGTACGCAAAAGGTCAGGTATTTACATTAATTTTATTAATGAATACATTTCATTACGCGCATAATTTCATTTAATGTGAATAATATATTTTTTAAATTATTTAAGTTAATAATAATGATATCGTGGTGGCCCGGACGTATAAGATGCTCTCTTCTCATGCAAGAGGGCGCGGGTTCGAAACCTACCAGCGGCAAGTACCAATGTGACTTTTTCCGAGTTATATGTACTTTGTAAGATTATCTAGACACCACTGACAAACGGTGAAGGAAAACATCGTAAGGAAACCTAGGCTTATAATTTCTAATAATTATAAGTTTGAAATCACCAACCCGCATTGAGCAAGCGTGGTAATTAATGCTCAAACCTTCTCCGTGTGAGAAGAGGCTTTGCTCAGCAGTGGGCACTTATAGTCTGTTGATGATGAACAAAGATATAATGTCAAGCAGCATAGATATAATATTTATGTGTCTAGCAGTCTCATTACCTACTCATATCAAATCGCTATAACGCCTAAGAAAATGAAAACAAAAAAATGAGAACATTTCCCTCTATATATAAACTATTTTTTTAAAGCGTTCAATCGACAGCTTGTCCATTATGGTAGGCCCCTTGATCTAGGTGAGCGATAAGCTATATAGACCGAGTTTCAGCCTGAAAAGCTTATCGGTAATCGGCCTCTTTTTGATGTAACACAGATACAAAATGGACGATGTTATTTAAATAATTATATAGTTCTAGCTGTTGCCCGCGATTTCGCGATCCCGTGAGAATATGATTTGTTTTATCCCATGGAAGCTTCCTACCACCTAAGTCAGCTCATACCCTGTCGGTACACGAAATTTCATCAAAATTTGTTCGGTAGTTTTAGCGTGATTGACTGACAAACATCCAAACATTCAAGATCTATTTTTTTTTGTCGACTGTAGAAAGGGTATATGGTTAAGAAAAGCTAATTGTTAGAGCTATTCAATACCTATAGTCAACATACATAATGGTCCACAATTACTTATTCTACGTAATTCCTATTTCATTTCGGAGGTAGCCTTGAGAAACTATGCCTTAATGTAAAATCATTTCTTTAACTCTACAATTCTTGCTGCTTACCTTCAAATACCCTTCATATTTTTCTTTTAATAAATTTCTAGGGTTCCGTGAATTCTATTTTGACATAGCATAACATAATATTATAACAGAATA